GTGACCCATCGCGGCCCCCATCCCCACCTCGCCGACCGACCCCGAACCCTGAACCCCCAGAAGCCCCCCGGCTTGCGGCGAGGGGGGGGTTGGCGTGGCGCTTATCAAACCCCCCCCAGAAGAGGAGCACAAGCTGTGGCGTCCTCGACCTGCCATGCGGAATACATGGCTCTCGGGGTAGCAACGCGACAGACGCTTTGGGTGCGGCATTTGCTCAAGGACGTACTGAAAGAGGATTTTGTTGGACACATGTTTTGTGACAACCAGTCGGCCATCAAAGTAGCCACAGACGATGCGTCAAATAAGCGCACCAGGCACACCGATCGGGACTTCTATATTGCAAATGAGGCGCTTTTTCAGAAAAAGACCTCTTTGAGCTGGATTGGAACGAGGGATCAGTTGGCGGATATTTTCACCAAGTGCCTGACACCTGACATTTTTACCTCTCTGAAAAACAGGATTATGGGAACCGGTTTATAATTTTTTTTGAATGTTCTATGTTTTTCTCTTCTTAGTTGTCTCAATTTTTTTTTTCCTTTTCGTCAAAGTTTTTTTTCCTCTCTTAAGGTTATTTTGGTTGTACGTAGATAGGCTTCTACGGCGAGAGGGGGGGTGTTGTAACCCAGAAGGGTTACGGACCCTGAGACTCGCCGCAGCAGCCTATATATATTCACCTCGGACCAGGTCCGAGGATGAACCCCTATGGAATCTATCTCTCTTCTCTCTCCATCCCTGAGATTCCACCTTGAGGAGTGAACAGCCATGAGGGCAAGCTGGCACGCTTTGTGTTTCCTTCCACAAGCCGAGAATCCAGATACAGCAGTTCCCAGAAAGCTTGCGTTCGCGAGCCCCTGGGAACCGATTTTTTTTTTTTTGTGCCACTTTTTTTTTTTTGCCTTGCATGATGTACAGTCCTGTATGGGCCTGTACATCCGAATATCGGAAGATTGAGAAAAAAATTTCAGCCGACGGCCACGGCCAGCCGGCGGCCCACCAGATTCCCCATGTGACCAGCCAGAATCCCCATCCGCCCACCCACAATCGCATCCGCCGACCCGATATCGCATCAGTCACTATATTAGGTCTTGAATCTTTGCATAAGGCAAGTACGTTCTGCTCACGAGCTACCCTCCATGTTTGTTCTCACTGAGACTAACGGTTGCTGCTTTATTGATGGCTATGTAGGCCTTGGACAATGCCTTTCGTTGATTATGGTCGGGGTGTGAAGATCATCGTGGTCAAGATGAGCCGACGAGGTGAGACCCGGCATGATATTAATGAAACACTGGATCTGAATATATCAGCCGATTCGATTAGAAGATGGAATCAGCTATATGAACGAACGAGAAGTGTCATCCGGAACCCAGCGTTTTACAAACGACAAGGCCGGCCAATCAGGGTTACTCGAGATGAGTCCCAATTCATATTGGATGCCTTGGATTTAGAACCCACCCTCTACCTCGACGAGATCCGAGCCCACATCGATGCCATGACCGGAGAGCGACACCCAATCGCAACGATCCACAATGAGATCAAATTTCGACTTCGACTCACATGCAAAAAGGCTCGGACTGTCCACCCGGCACAGTGTGCATTGCGTCGGGCGGCGTTTGTGAGTCAAATTGGGTTTATACCCTCCAACCATTTGGTGTTCCTAGGTACGTACCTCATACACACTATACATATGTTTGTTAGGCAATTGGGGGAGTGGCTGATGCCAGATTTGATTGTTGAATGGTAGATGAGACTGGTGTCTCGATCAAAACTCACTCTCGCGATCACGCTTACGCTCCGAAGGGTCGCCGAACAGTCAGGCTCCCCAGGCCTATCACTGCCAGCCGGATCAGTGTCCTTCCCGCGGTATCCTTGGATGGTTTGCTTGCGGTGATCGCACAGGAAGGTACTATGTACCGGCTGGATCTTGAATACTTCCTTGAGGAGTTCCTCGTAAGTTGTTTATTGCTGACTCATCTGTGGATGATGCATGTAGGGGGCTGATTCAGTCAAATTCTCTTATCGAGCTCCCAAACATGAACCCATTTCCTGACAGAAACAGTGTTCTTGTGTTGGACAACGCATCATTGCACCACGGTGGTCGTGTCGCACGGCTATGCGAGGACCGAGGGGTCTTACTTGTCTACCTGCCGCCTTATTCTCCGGATATGAACCCTATTGAGAAGGTGTTCTCGGTCCTGAAGTCCCAGCTTAAGCGTCGTCAAATTCTCACTGGAACGGTCAAGGACATCGATATCATCAAAGATGTGCTACCTGAGATAGTTACCCCAGAGCTGATGGCCAGCTTATTCCGCGGGTCAAACTATGCTGCCTGATTTTTAATGGGCCTTGACTGGCTGGATGTGTTTTCACTCTATTTTTCTTATATATACAACTTATGCACCACCAAGTGTGAATGAATCTTACCTGAATCTTTCCATCTGAGTTATGCGCCACCGAGTGCAAATGAATCTTACTTGAATCTTTAAATTTAAGTGTGAGATGATTAAGTGAGAGGCAATCTGTGGACACTTGAGCAGGGAGTGAAGAGATCGACACAAATCTCTTGTCAAAATAAAACCCCAAAAATTCGGCCCTTGCAGTGATTCTGTACAAGTGCGAGCTCACCCTGAGGGTCTCTCATCGGGGTCTAGTGCCTGGCTTCAAGACACTTGGTTGTGTGTGTGGACTCAGGAGGAGATTGTGTGTGGGCTCAGGAGGAGATCTTATCAATTGTGATCTGATGAAGGCAAGACCGAGCAACCGACTGGATCTGTGGTTAACACACCGTGTGGTTGTTCGGGGGGATGTTTGGGTCAAAATGATGCATAGGACGCCGGGTTTCTCATTGCCAAGCAGACTCGCCCCCACAAGGAACGATGTCCATTCATATGGCTACTTCGGAGTGAGGAGGCTTAGTTTTGACTACAACTAGAGAGGCGGGACCCTTGACATGCACTGATATAATTGAAGAGGGACATAAAATGGTGGAAAAGGAGAAATGAGCATTGTAGCTCTACAACTAGAGAGGTTGAACCCTTGGGGGAGAAGGAAATGTGAGATGCATAAGAGGATAACTGTCAAAAAAGCCAAACATGAGTCCGAGTTTGCATTAAGACTCTAGTAAATCGGCCCGGAGGCTGGTGGTACCATAGATGATTTGGCGAGCGGTCGCTTCCGGGAAGCTCATCAGAGTAAGGTCGCGGGCGGTCATGGTTAGGAACGTGCTCCAATGGGCAATGTGATTGAGTTGGATGAGGCCTCTGGGGACCATGTCAGTTGGTTGAAAGTTGCAGTGAGTGAGGAACTGCTCCATGGTCATGGCTCGACCGGCGGCGTTTGGCTGGTTTGGGACAACCACATCGGGCCCAGTGTTAGAGGCGTGGTCCGCACTAGTATTCGCATTCGCATCTCCGGCAGGGATGGGCACAGGCAAAGCCCTCAATACCGACATAGGTGGGCGAGATGAGTTGGAAAGAACCACGGAACCCGTGGCCGAGGATTGAACACTCGAACTCGTCTGTTTCCGCGCTGGTGAGATTGGTGGAGACCGACGACTGCTGGATCTTGTGCGCATGAATGAGAGCTGACTCATTGCCGATCCCATGACATCGCCCGTTGGGCTCCGTATATACTTGCGAGCTGGCGAGCCATCACGAGTCCCGCCGCCCGGTGAGTCTGCTGGCATGCCCCCAAGGTTGGGAGCCTCCCAGACAACCTCAACCTCCGACTCGTAATCCACAGGAAACATAGGATCCTCCTCTTCAATCGGCAAGGTGGTTGGTAAGTTGGGAGTAGAGTCAGTTGAAGCCTCTGGCATGACCACGTGAGAGCCACCCACTCCACAACCAGCCCCGGTGTTTGCAGCCCCAGAGGTCGACCGTCGTTTTTTGGGAGAGGCTATTGGCGCTGAAAAGCTGTCGAGTGTTGGCACTCGGCGTTTGATCCACTTGAACTCTTCAGTCTCAGGCGGATGATCAAGAGTGATGGCGGCATTCTTCCCATGCTGCAGCGCGCGGGCCCAAGCTGTGAGTCGGTTGTTGAAGATTTGCATCCCCTCTGCCTCATTGTTGGGATTGCCAATCCACAACTGCTCCTCGTTCAGGCCGTACTTGCCCTTGATGTGTGCCATCAATTTGGCCAGGACCGGTGTCAAAGGATTAGAAGATGTGTTGGCCTTTGGCTGTTGAGCAAGACAAACAAGCGAGGTCACCTCGTCAGCTTGATGACATCTGAACAGAAGGCAAGTGGCTTACGTTTAACATCAGCCTAGCCCGTTGGAGTTCCAAAGCCGTTCGGTCGGCTTTGTTCCCAAACTTCAGCGTCAGGCTATCTTGGGTGTTTTTGGCCTGCCGAGATGTTTTGAGGGTGAGATGTAAACATCCCAAACAAATTAACAAAAATGACAACATTGGATCACTCACCGCGGCGGACTGTTTTGCTTTCGCCTGGGGATCATCCATCACTAGCTTAACCGTGACCGCGGCTTTCGGATTATCCTGAATGGCACCCGCAAACTCATATAAGTCCTGATCGCCCGTCGCAAAGTAATTCTTCTTTGGGCCAAAGACCCGACTACCGGAAAGAATGAGTTGCCATTTGATCGTGTTCTTCTCCAACTCGCAGGCTAACATTTGCGCAAATAACGGACAGGGGGTACTGAGCAGGTAGACGATTCGTCGCTTGAATTCCTCCCAACTGTGAGAACCGACATCGGTGTGCCAGGACGCCAAGCTCGCGCCGGTGGGGACTATTTTATCCCACTGCTTCTTCACCGGAACTGCCAGGCCCCGTCAACCACCAATATTTTGAGCAATTTCAGTGTCAGCCGATTCGATAAACAGGATATAATCGACGACAACAAGGCGGCCCTCCGGGGCAGTCAACAAGGTTTGTTGGTTCTCCTGTGTTTCGGCTAGCGACTGTTGCTGTTGGCCCGAATAATGCTGACCGAGTGATTGCCCGCCAGGAATTTGAGACTGAGAGAATCCGGCTTGATCCCCGCCGAGTTGGGTTTGACCGGTCGCGGAAACTTGTGTATTGGTCAAATGGTGATACCCACTCTGAGCAGCCCCTCCTTGACTGTTGAATCGAAAAACAGCTGGGGTGAACGGCTGTGAAGTCGCCTGGGAGGGCCCTAGCCAAGACTCCTGAGATTGGTTATCCATGAATCCAGCTTGGGCACCGACCTGATTTGTGTTGTAAGCCATGACTGGCTCACTGACACATGATTCCAGTGTTAGTTGAATATACCACCTACATATCAACCAAAAATGTCGGGAACTCACCTAAGATTCCTATGCAATCAGAATTTCCGCCGGATTTGGAGGTGAAAATGCGGATTGAGGTGGGTGGATGGGGTTTCTGGCTGGCTGGATGGGGAATCTGGTGGGCCGCCGGCTGGCCGTGGCCGTCGGCTGAAATTTTTTTCTCAATCTTCCGATATTCGGATGTACAGACCCATACAGGCCTGTATGTCATGCAAGGCAAAAAAAAAAAAGTGGCACAAAAAAAAAAAAATCGGTTCCCAGGGGCTCGCGAACGCAAGCTTTCTGGGAACTGCTGTATGACAGATCCCGCTTGTCCAGATGGGGTGCATCTCTGGTGGACTGCCGGCCAGTGGGGACTGACGATTAAAAACAAGTGCGTGTGGTAAAACCCACTTAAATTCAGCCCAAATCAGCAGCACGTGAACTGGCTCCAAGGGTTGCAAAAATACATACCCAAATAAAAACAGGGTTCAAAATATCCTTATGAATTGCATATTTACCGTCATCACCATTTCGGCACAGGTTCAATATTGTGTAAAGACCTGTTAAGGTTAGTGCGCGTGCAAAGGAATCAGTACAATTATAATTTATGGGTGACCTGGCTCGTCGTAAGCCACGTCGATATACATAGCCATGCGTAGTCCAGAGTACCTCCACCGTCTGTTACAGCTCTTTGGAATTAGAAGAATCAAATCCCCTTTCAATTCTTCTCTCGTCATATAATCAATTCTCCTTTTTTTTGGATTGGCAGCAAAGCGTAAGGTTGTAATGCTGCTTTTGAAGACGAGATAGCATATCAATGGCCTGGCGCAATCTTCGACAAGGGAGAATTAAGCACAGATAATCATTGATTTTTTGATTTGGACTTTTGGCCAGCTTTCTTGGTGCCTACAACAGATGATTTGGAATAGTGTACATGATAGACTCTCCAACAATAGATCAGGGTAAGGATCGAGGCAGCCGTTGCCTTGGCGTCGGTTGGTGAGAGGATAGGAGAATTGGTGAAAGAGGATGAATAGAGCAAACCAATCAAACTTGAATAATGAGGATGACTAGCTGACAGACAACCGTAGATTGCAGCCACCAAGGCACCCGACCAAACATCAGTGCCAGCCAGCAGTGTTCCTTCTTGCAAAAACAACGGCCGGTTCAAGCGCCAGGAAGGTTCCCATACACTGAGCGTTTGAGCGGATATACCGCCGCCCGAGGAGGCCACGGCTCCGATGAAGAGTTGGATCGAGAGCGATTCTCTGATCGCTGGGGAGCCATGGTTTCGACACGCCTCGACCCCCGCTGCGATCGAGGCCGTTCGAAGCAGCCCATCCACCAGAGGGAACAGGCTGTCGAGCGTCTTCAGACTCGGTAAGCTCCCGAGATCGGGTAGACTCATGTGGGTCGTCGCATAGACCAAAAATGGACTGAATGAAAGCAGTTGTGGGATCGGCAAATTCAACAAGATGTGCGAGATAATCGAGCCGCCCCAAGCCTATGTATAAACGTAGAAGAAGAAGAAAAATTATTTAGACGATAAATCAATTGAGGGTACACAAAAAGAACATCATCAGATCAGATTTGATGTAAATCTTGGAGGACTGACCATCAACAAGAAGCCGGCCAAGTCAGCGGCCGCGCTAGTTTTTCCGCCGGCTCGAGTGTTCAAGGTGCGATAAGCGACACTGATCCGGAAGGCATGAAGGAGGGGAAAGCATCCGACGGGGAAGAAGGTTGGATGGATGGGAGTGGCGAGAGCGTCGAAGAGGGCCGAAACGGGCTGGATGAAGGCGGGAGCTGCTGAGTGTACCATTTCGGGTCGATGACGTGGGGGATGGGGACTGTCGAGAAGACACGCTGCGGCCGGCGCCCAGATCCAAAAACAAGTGCTCGTTTTGGTGGAAAGCTCCCAGCAGATTCGAAGGGGATGATGGTCTTATTTTTAAGTTCGGGTGGCTCTCTTCCTTGGCAACTCACCAATAGTCTAACTACCATCGGAAACCACATGTTCCAAGCCACAACTTTGGGAAAAACCTAGCACCTGCAGGTGTTGATGTATCCACACTGAAATTTACACTCTTTCCCTTTACGCCAATCAGACCCGTCCCATCTTGGCCCTCAATCCACAAGACAAGCATGAACTTCCACAACAGTAAAAGTATGTAAAAACAGCGGACTATGTAGTGGTGGCTATGGGCACTAGCTGAAGATGTGCTTGGGGGAATATGATTTTCCAATGATAACAGAAAGACTTAAAAGAATAGAGCTCTTCCAAACAAACCAAGTTCAAATAAGCCTCATTTTTGTCTGTGATCATATCGCATGATCAATCTGGGCAGGGTGAGGTCATCCATTCTGACATCCGCACACTCCATAGCAAGACTAATTTAGGACTGGAAAGATGCTACAGCAAGGAGCAGCATAGCCGACCATCGAAACTGTAAAGAACCGGAATGCAGTATTCCTAAGAACATCCTTTCATGGCATCTATGTAATCTCCAAAACCAGCTTAAAATACAGACCATCTTGCTTTTTCCAGACAAGCTTAGACACTTGAGCAAAATGTGTTTCCTAGTGTGAAGCTTCAAAGCGACACTTCTTCAAGTTAGATAATGTTAGGATCCTCAAATGTACAGCTCCAGATTTCTTTTAATCGCCCTCCCCTTTGTTCTTCCTCTCTCTCTCTCTCTCTGTTGTAATATTTTGATGACATATGTCGAGGTATTGATTCGAGCTTGCTCCATCAGGTATCAGAACATGGGGACAAAGAGGCTCCGATATTTCATTTGTCTTGAATCAAAAAACACACGCAAGCCCATGATGAAAGATTGTTAAGAGGCAGACCAAAAGTTTTTTTTTTTTTTTCAGAATTACAAGGCCCAGCTGAGTTTTTTTTTTTTTTCTAATCTCTCTTGAGTTCCTTACGGACGACTCGGACGCCCTTGCCGGCCTCGATGATAAAGATCTCCAAGCCATCGCCGACCTCGATGTGTCTCTCCGCCGCGCCAGTGAATGCGTCAGTGACCAAGGCTTGTACCTTCTCCAAGGGCAACTGCGATCGCGGGGGAGTGTAGGACTGGCCTTGGGCGTAGACCGGCTCGGGTGGGGGAGCTGGACCCGATGGATCTCGAGTCATGTTCTTGCCTCCAACCTGAACCGATGTCCAAGCAATCCAGAATCCAAGGAGCAATATGAATAATAATCAAAAAAACGCAGCAATCTTTTTTAGACATCTTAATAGAGACTCATCCCGAAACTCTTCTCTGACCTGGTTATCCAAGAACGGCTGGACCAGACTTTGGGCCGCCCCGGCTGCCCGACAGCTCTCTCGCTCATAGCTCCCCACCGGGTCGAACGAGTACACGGCCCCCGTCCCATCGCGATCGATCCCGGCCAAGATGACGTATGCATAGTAGGGGAAGAACCGGCGGCCATAGAGCATCGTTTGGACCAATCTGGCGATCGATTGGACCGATGGTTGACTGGCATGGGTGTGTTGATACCACTGTGAATAATCATCACAATTTCGTCAAGGCCTCCCAGTTGATCGTCATAGAAAGAACAAGTCTCAAGGCGAGGGAAGATGGGACTCACTTGGAGGCGTTGTTTGAGTTGCTTGACGAGCTCTTTCCCGTCCGCAGCGAATCCGTTGACAGCGATACAACATTCCTCAGTCAGTTGAGTCACCTTGGGTGCATATCTGGTTTGGATCGAGTAGCCTTCCGATTGTCTCGTGTCGCCCGCAATCACTGCAAACTCTTTCGAAGAAATCGCTAGGATCGTCCCTCCGTTATCCTATCATATTCAATTGTAAAAAAAAAACAAACCATATCATATTCAGTTATTATTCGTCATGTTGTTTCTGTGAGGTGCTCATCTCCTTTGTTGAGGTCAGACAAACGAGCTGGTGGCAGATAGATAGACAACTTACGGGAATATGGATTGAACTGCCGTCCTTGAACCATCTCCTCAGATATTTCTTTTCTTTTGTGTTATTTCTCGTCTTGAAGTTGATTGATATCGGCGTCTGGGATGAGCGGGAGTTCTGTTATTGGTGAAGGTTGGTGATGATGATGACTCACATAAGCCATCCATCCCTTCGATGTGGCGATGATGTAATCGGATGCTGCGTAAGCGCCGCAGCTGACCCCAGATGTCGCGTCCAAAGTCGTTGTTCACTCATCTCCGGAGTAGCTACTTATCATCTGCAACCCGCTGAGAAACGGCATTGAAACTTTAACTGATGCAAGGCCAGATTTCCATGAAACAGTCAAACAAAAAAACCAGCTGTTGGAATGACTGTGAAGTCTTCAAGATTGAAAATCGGCCAGCTCGCTCAGGAATCGAGTGTAAACTCTTGAAGAAAAGAAGGGAATACATCACAGTACATACATGATCAATGAGCCAATGATGATGGTGGGGTGTGTATGATGTCGCAAGCAGAGAATATAGCAGAGAGAGAGAGAGACAGCAAGACAGAGAGAAGTCGGCAGTCCATCTCCCTGGAAGATATAGAGCTGAAGTCCAAAAAAGGACAGAAGATGGCTGGCGCCGGCCATGTATGTACTTTTACGAGCATGGCGATCGATCGAAAGCCGTCGAGGCACAAAGCAATCGGCCGCGGGGCCATGGGTGTCTTGATCAAGATCCCTCGATCTCCCTCTGGGCTATGTATATCAGACTCAATCAAGAATCAGGGCAGACATCGAACTGAATTCAG